CCATCGATGCGTTTTTGAGGACTCGAAACTTGTCATTTCCTGGTGGCACCTACATTGGGAGCCGCCGAAGCCCTGCGAGGCCCGTCAGCCACAACATCGCCTTCCAACTCACATCTTCGACGGTTTACTCTTGTAGCGGCTGCTGTGCCGATCCGACCCTTCACACAGGTGACAGGTCACTGCCGCAGCCGGCCCCGGCCCTCACATTCGGAGCTGGTCCGCTCTGTGCTTCCAAACCGCTCAGCAAACGGTGGGGCCGAGCTGGCAACCGATGCGCATCAAACTGACCGCAAATGGCAGCTCGCCATGCACTGGTCCTCGTCAGAACCAGCCGGTCCGATGGCGAACGGCACTAGCTGACCGGAACACCGTAGCCGGAACAGCACCGTTTGGGGCAACAGCCGTTTAACTACTCCGCGCTCAACGATACAGAATCTGACGGCCGTGCTTGCAACATGAAAGCTCACATCAGCACTGTCAGCTCACTTGCTATGCGCATGTAAGAGCCGTAACAGACATTTGTGCATTCTATTCATAGCAGCAATGTTTCAGCTGATCATCAACAGCACCGCATTAAGAAATAAATCTAAGTCCCCACAAATGCACCACCAAAATAACGCGACCGAGTGTGCTACGAGCGTAAGGCAAAATCCTTAATCTAAACAGGACCTACAGCTTCAGTGGCCACAACTGATATTTCAACCATTCCTTTGCTCGCCGCTAGAACGGCGTATCGCCGGCCATGAACGACATTATGATTGTCTGAAAGGTTTCATCCGCATTGATTGCAGGGTTCTGCTCCTGCAGCGACGGTAAGTAGCCATCCCGGAATTCCTTCTTCATGCAAGACTCCACCTTGGCCCTCTGTAACGCAAATCACCCATTAGCAGTGTTTCAACACCCTTCTCCGACCACAGGCCTGAGGTGGCCGTCACCAACGGTTTCTTTTCTGCTGCAACCTGCAGTTCAACGTCGGCCGTGCACAAGATATGGTGAAAATACGTTGACACTGGACCGAGTTAGGCCATGAAAAGGGTGCTTGAAAACAAGGTGCGGTGTGGTCGGGACTGCGATGTTCGATGCGAAAGGAACGAAAGGAAACGCCTCCTATTACATACACAGTCCAACGGTTTTTCCGCACAGAATGTAAAGTGGCGCCGTTACACCACCCGAGTAAGTCCTCCTGCACTGTGGATTGTGCGAGCTCTCACTGACGAAGGAATAGTTTCATTTTGTTGATGGGGTGTGCAGTACCTGAACCATAAGGCAAACCAATGTCGATCACACTGAGGAAGTGGGGGGGGGGGGGACACACCTCAAAACACTCGAAGAAGGCCTTCTGCCTGCCGAATTCTGGTGTGCTCGGAGGCTTATCAACCATTGAGTTCGGCAGGCAGTTGGCTAAGTCGTTACACTGATCGACTGCTTCCTGAAGGTCCTCGTCCAGGCTTTTCGGCAGACCCGAAGCTAGCGATAGCCACCTTTATGGAAAACGCGTCAATGCGGTTTTGGGCGTCCGCCTGAAAAAGAAAAAGGCCGGGTCAAGAAGACGAGATACGTTTTCTATTCTCGGGCAGGTCATGTGCCTAAAAGTGAGTAGTAAATCACCCATACAAAGTCACAGTGGCGTTGCAAGAGCTAACTTGTGGCTTCAACACTAGTTGATATATATATATATATATATATATATATATATATATATATATATACATATGTCGTGTTTTACGCCATCGTGATGTGGTATATCATATCCCATTTACGCGGTTCTGTTCCGGTCCAGCAATATCAGAACACGCTACCAGACAGCGGACTGATGCTTATGGTGTCATAGTCTCAAGCGAAGTACTGGACACAGTACAATAGTATGTCATTCGAATGACTCGCTGCAAACGCGGAGACAGGGATGATTGACAAAGAGTACAGCACGAAGGGAAACAAACTAAGCGGAAAGGTGAGGATAGCATTTACCAATATGAAGCCATCTTTAGAAATTTGGCCGCTGGGCAAAATGACGCATAATTGTCTCTATACTGTCCGCTCGTTTCTTGTACTCACGAATTTCAGCTCCTTCAGCACACAGCCCAATCTTTCAATCATCTCGGAGATCTTGCTTCCAGTATCTTGCAGTTGTTGGGAGCTGAAGCTGCTGACAGTAGATCTCTTGCGTCGGGACCCCTGCGAAGGCGATGACGGAGTTAAAAAATGACGAACATATAATCCAAATGCAACGCTTGTGCAAGTACTTTGGGCTGGGAATTCTGTGACTGACTGAGGACGCGTGCCATCACATGCTCCCGCGAACTGAGTTTGCATACAAGCCCCACGACGTGTTCTACATACTGGCTCCCTTTCGTAAGACCCATGTAGCGCCCTCTCCTCCTATCAACTCGGAGCACTGTAACATATAACCTCTGCCCACTAACAGCGATAGGTTGAACACACGGACACTTGCGCTGTAGCCCCGGCCGACACCCCCTGTTTCTGCCCGCTTTGACAGTTCCTGTCCGCTATGGCAGCTGGTGTCCGCCAGGCCTGACAGTTCCTACCCGCCCGTTAGTCCGCATTTGTCTGCTCTGACAGCCAGTGCTCGCCAACATCTACTAACCCCGATTCTGACGATGGCGTAGTACTGCGCCAGCAGCTCACTCTGCATGACCGGATCAGAACCCTTGCACTTATCAATAGCGGCAAGAATCTTCCCCCTGAAGGCAGCCATTACGCTCTCGCCGAAGCAGCCGTCGGCCATCTGGGGATACGAGACCACCGCGATCATGTTACTGAGAGCTCGGTGGGACAGTAAGATTATGCGCCGGATCACTTACCCAGGCGAAACTGACACCGTGAAAACGAACACCCGGCAACGAGGATGCCACAGCCGGTGCTGGTCTTCAACTGAGCACATTCCGGCATACAAAAGACATTGTGCCATCGACCGGCAGCCAGTCTGCTAGCATTGACCTTCCTCTTGGCGAACTTGGTGATATACGGCTCCGATATAAACGCGGATACCGCAGAGAGGCATGCCAAAGCCACGATGTTGATCTGGATCAGCTTCATCGCTCTGGAAAACAGGAACCACATAATGATAATGCATGTCAGCTCGGTGACAAGGAAAAAAGTATCACATGATGGCGATAAGCAACTCTCACACAGCTTATATGCACATTATCGTGCGTGCCTCGCATGCTGCCAAGGCGCAATACCATGACGTAAAGCTCATAGATTGCTTGAGAACCATCGTGACATTGCCTTGCACCATGTTATTTTAAACTCAGATGATGTCTCAGAAGCGTGAATGTATGATGAGAAACTCACAGAACATGCTAATTTTTAGATTCTGGAAAAATATAATCCATGTTGCAGCTGCAAACCAGTTGCAGTTGCAGTCCCGAGTCTGTCAGCGAAATAATCTTTTTGTCTGAGGCTCCGACCGCGGCCCTACCGCAGTCCTACCTGCCGGAGCTGGGATGCTCTCCCTGTCGGAGATGGGAACAATAGATTCAACCCACCTGTCTTTCGGTACGGCCGTTGGTATCTGTGGGGCTCCGTGGTCTCCGCTCGTATTTATACGGGCCGCCTGGAATCCGGCGGCGCTCAGCAACCGCGGCATGATCAGTGATATCACGAGCGAGCACCCGAGCGAGCGAGCGAGCGTTGTACTGGTGATCGTATCACCGGAGCGCGCCCGCTCTCCGGCGCGAGCACAGCCGGGGTGCTTGTTCGCAGGGCAAGTTATACCATAAATAATGTTTAAACAGTCCGTAGCCAATTTTGAAGTGGCAGCAAAGCCGGTTAAGACATACAAATAAGGACGGCAATTTGGTCATTCAAAGTCAGTGCAATTGATTGCATTTCACAAGATAAAACATTGCAATGCAAAAGTGAATGCAGTTGATTGTATTTCACAAAATAAAACAAGGTGATGGAAGCAATTTCATGCAAGCCAGGATTTGTCTCAGAAAATGGCTAAATCGCGACGCAGGGAGCACTTTTAGCCTACGAACCGCTTCGTTGGCAAGGAAAACTTATTTCTTATTCGCGGTTTTTTATTTCTATGCCCAGAATCGCATTTTACTGCTTTGAGGACGCATCCGTACAATTTAGAAGCCTCATGGGCATCTTAAACTGATAGCAAGTGCTGAGAGCTTCGGTGCCTGAGGGTCCTCCACCGTTATGGGCGGGGGAATGGCCCTGAAAGGCCCACCTTCCTTGATAATGCCACCGACTACAGATGAGCACGAACCTGGAGCAGGTTTTTATAAGCGTGCCCACAATTATGAACATGGAAAATGTCATGTTCGGCAGTCACCACGCACGAATAAACGTTTGACATACAACACACTACTATCACACTTCACTGCGGCGTTGGACATATAATACACCATCAACACACTTCACGGCGGCGTCAGACGTACAGGACATCGCCAGCATGCTCCACCGCGACGTTGGACATACAGCTCACCGCCAACACACTTCACCCCGGCGTCCGACGTGCAGTCCGCATTTCACCGCTGTTCAGCACGGTTCACGCGGGTGGATTTCAATTGAGCCTTGGATTACAATCTGTGAACTCCGTTAAGTTACTGCGCTTACGATTTGCAAGCATGGGAAGACGGAAGCACATTTAAGCATCTGCCTCCGTGTGCTTGTGGTGTATAGATACTTACCGTGAATTGTGGTTTGATTGGAATGCATTTTTGTTAGCGGTACCTTGTGAAAACGGCTCGTCAAGATCCTGTTTCTGAATTGAGTTACGGCCTGTTTGAGTCTCAGGGCTAAAACTCCGACATATGAAGCAGACGCGCTCGTTCTCTTGTTCTTGAGAGCCCCTGTGACGTAAAACAAATGCTCATTAACCCATTGAAACGATGAGGAGCTGTGGAGCTTATTGACTAAATAGTGGCATTTTGTTGTCTAGAGCAGTTCTTGCAATGAAAAACATGGTATAAGTTACAAGTGAGCGTTTTCCAGTACATCTGATATTTGACTTAACGCCTTAAAATGCAGAACATTCCGGTTGATGCACGGTGGCGACCACTTGCACCATATTCTAAACTTGCAAACAATAATGTGGATGCGACCACATGGAGGCCGGCCCATCTCACAACACACCGTCCATCGGTGACCATTGCTTGTATCCGGGTCAATGACCACCTCTAGGTGCTTCGCTGTCTTCGTTGTCCTATACTGAGAACCTGGCTGTCCGCTGCTGCGACGTTTGCTCCTGAGCTCGCAGTCTTGGGGCGCCGGCGCCGATCTGCTGGTCCGTACCACCTGGGCAATCACTGTTGCGAAGGACTTATCAATCCTGCTGTTAAAGCCATTTTTGTACAAATCGGCTTATTCCGTGGCCTTTGCCAGCACTATAACATTCGTTATTTTTCCCACTTCTTCCTAGAATTGCAATAGTCCTTGGCCGGGTTCACCGGATTTGGCGGATTATTTTCGAGCGGATCAAACCGATGGAAAAACCTTGGCGTGACCAGCCCAACCAGATACCAAACATCACGTGACCAGTTGACCAGTTCGTGACCAGTCATCACGTGGCCAGGGACTAGTTCATCAAGCGTCGTTAAGAGTGAAACAACGAAATTGGGCAGACTTTGCGCCAGCTTGTTTAGGTCAGTTCCAAGAATTGTAATTCTGCGAATCAATGAATTTAGACCACCAAGATAGCACTTCCACGAAACTGGAATGAATCGTCTAAGGAATCAACGAAGGGTTGTTCTACGACAGCAGCAGTGCTACGAATAATAGCCATGACAACAAAACGAGGCATCATTCAAAGCAACGAAGCTCAGTGCCCAGTGCTCGGGTGGGGACAAAAATACTGACACATGAGACAAACATGCTTGTTTTTCCAAACCGCTCATCCAATTTCTTTGACATCTTCAGCAGTCGATTTAGTGCAATGACGTGGGTAAGGGGGTGGCAATATCATGACCTGGCGTAGGTTCAAACACTTCAAAAGCGGGAAGGAAATTTATAAAATGGAAGCGACAGACGACCACTGCTCTAATCGGCACGAAATCAGTGATAGCGTATCTGGGCGGGGGGAGGGGGAGGGGGCAGTGAGGGCAAACTGCCCCCCTCTCCTGAGGCGGGAGCAAAAGTATCTTTTTGCCCCCACAAAATTTCAGTTGTTTCAGAAAGGGACTGTAATGTTCTGAAGGGAAACTGCTGCCACCAATGAGGATGTCCACGTGGTGGCGCTAGTGCTGCCCCCCGCCTGATTTGAAGCAATACAGTTCTAAGCCCGGATCCGCCGCGTATGGACGCTCCGCCGAGCCGTGTACCGACAGAGCACGGACCGAGAACATAACATGGCGCGGTCGGTCTGTGACTAGTGTACTGTAACGTGTCGGTCTGTAACGTGTGGACAGCGGTGATCGGCGTTGGTAAACATCAGTGAGTGGACAGATACGAAGTGCTTGTGATAGTGATTGTGCTGTTACGGCATCCGCCGACAGGATGAGCAGCGCCTCCAGCAACGGGGGTGGGGAGCGAAAGCCGTCGGAAGTGCAGCTCCTGATCGACCTGTTCAACCGTCAGATAAAGGCATCGCAGCAGCGGGAGGAGCGTCAGATGGAGGCATTGCAGCAGCGGGAGGAGCGCCTCATCCAGCTTCTGGAGCGTGTGGGCCCATCGTCAGCGCAGCATTCAACAGGCGACGACGGCGCGACTGGTGGCGATGGCGGCGCGCCCGCTCAGCGTGGACCTATGCTGGCCGCCTCGGGGCAGGATCTGCCCAGCCCGAAAGGTCATCAGAGAGGTGACGGCGACCCGACACTGCGTGCGCCGCTGCCACCCAGCTTAGCGGGCTCCCCGAGAGGTCACGGCGGGCCTATCACTCCGGGGCAGGATCCGCTCACCCCGGCCGGTCACCCGAGTGACGAGGGCGGCGTGACCCACCCCGGCCCGGCGCTGCGTACGCCTCTGCCGCCCGGTCCGGCCGGTCAGCCAAGCGGTGACAGCGGCGCAGCCGGTCTGGGCCCGGTGCTGCGAAGACCCCAGCCGCCCGCCCCAGGGCACGTGCGGTGCGTGTCGGCCGGCTACGACCCGGTGGGCGGTGACCGGGACGACCGTGAGCCCGACCGGGCGAGGTCACGGTCGCGGCTCCCAGCAGCGGCGACACCGGCCCCGCGGCTGATTGCGTCTGCTTCGTTGAAAAAGTTTGAGGCGTGGAGAGACAAGTTTGACGGCTACCGTCTACTCGTGGGCCTGGACGACCCACCCCAAGCGGAGCAGCGGGCTGCTTTGCTCGCGCTGCTGGATGACGACTGGGTCAGGGTTGTCAGATTCGGGCTGCCTCAGTCGACGGGCGTGACGATCGACGAGACCATCCTGGACATGCAGCATCATCTACGTCGCCAGCGCAACATCATCATCGATCGTCGTGACTTCAACACACGCGTGCAGCAGCAGGGCGAGACATTCGACGAGTTTCTCTGCGCGCTGAGAGAGACAGCGTCGTTCTGCGACTTCTGCACGTTCTGCATAGATGACCGGCTCCGAGACCGGCTGGTGGTCGGCGTTCGAGATGAAGACGCCAGGCGCCGGATGCTGGAGACGCCGGAGCTGACGCTGCAGGCGGCAGCCGACATCTGCCGTGCGTCCGAGAACGCCAGCAGCAGCACGTCAGCCATCCGGCAGCCGGTGACGTCATCGCTGGCCAAACTATCTCGATACCAGCGATATAAGCGATCGTCGTCAGCGGTGAAGTCTGGAGAGAAGTGCGCCCGCTGCGGCAGAGCGGCTCACCGGGGTGAGCAGAGGTGTCCGGCGGCTGGACGCCCATGCTTTCACTGCCAGGAGCAGGGACACTTCGCGGCTGTTTGCCGGCGCCAGCATGCTGAACCACAGAGGCGCGGCAGGAGCAACAGTCGGCGCCGTCAGGACCGCCGAAGCGGTTCACGCGTCCAGTCGCCCGTCCAGGTTGTGCAGCAGGTGACGGCAGCGCCGGCCCAGGGCGTCAGACGGGTTCCCGACGTCCGTGTACGAGGCATCTCGGCGCGCTGTTCGCCACGGGTCGAGCTGTAGCTTCATCGACCGGACGGA